TTCCAAAATTCGAAAAATCTAAATCTTAAAATCTAAAATTAATATTTTCTTTAAATAATTAGTGACAATCCTGGAATTTGAATATGTAGCGAGGAAACATACATCATAGAAACCTTGTCACACTTTCCTTCAAAGTAAAATCCAATATTCTATTTTAACATAAAACAGATGTGTCTATCATACACCTTTACAATTGAGTTCCTTATATACGATATATCCCTCTTAGTAAATAGATTTTCAAAACAGATACTGCTAAAAATAAACTCTGAATGGTATCTTTTTGAAGACTCATTCGTATTAAATTGATATTAAATATCGCATGAAAAATTGTCCTTCCAAAATTTGGAATTTGAAAGACTTAAAACGTTTTAGTTTCTCTATATTCATTTGGTGTTTATTTTTGTTTCAGACAATCCTATTGGGCGATAGCGGTGTGGGAAAGACATCATTATTAGTCAAATTCGATACTGGAAAATTTCAATCCGGAAATTTTTCAGCTACAGTCGGAATAGGATTTACCGTAAGTTATTTTAATTATAACGTTTTATTTTATTTATTCCATTAATATTCTATTGGAAAATTACAACTTACAGTATTTTTTGTCATTGTTAAAATTAGCCTTGTTTTTGGGATATTGAAAAAATACGAATTTTAATGTTTTCATATCCTATAAAATAAATTGAAAAACCAGCAAAATTATGGTTATTATGTATAATCCTTGAAATGAAAATATGAAATTCCACCCTGAAAAGTGAATTAAAATCCTACTCAACATTTAATAAAATCGGATGAGGAAAAACATTTTTTAGAAACGTTAATATCAACAACTTAACAACCCTCTTTAATTATAATTATAATTATCTACCTACATTTTTAAATAAGTAAATGGGTCATTATGCTTTTTACCCTATCTGCCTTTAAAAAATTAATATTTCACATTTTCATATCCAGTGGGAATATTATTATTTAGGCAAACTAAAGGTAATTCTAATGTTACTCTCAACAGTAAAGTTTCTGTTAAAGAGTCGCTTATTTTTAAGTTTCAATGTCGAAGCAATATCAGTGCAGTGTGACAAAAGAGACATATCACAAAGGAGACATTTTTCACAATAAAAAAATATATTTTCCAAGTGACACAATAAATGCACATAAAACATTGCATTAATTAAAAAGAGTAATATCGCGACGAAAGATAACCTTCAAAAACACCCGCTGCTTGTTTGTAACGCGCAAAATAACAATAGCGTTCTTATTTATGAAAATAATTAATCCCGGCGCATTCACCATTTTCAGACTAATTGAGGTTCAAATTTTCATTCCCTAAAAATTTATTTATTTTGCCAAAAGAACTTTTATTTTAAATTATTATTTAGTTTATAATATAAATTTTATTAATTCACTGAAATTACCTTTATTATCAGTGCATCAAGTAAATACATAACCAAATTAATTTAATCTTGTTTGTATACAAATTGTATAATATTATAGTATATAGTATATACAATAAATTTTGAAATTAACAAGCTATTTTTTACACACAAATGGTTATGAATAATCCAAAAATTAAATTACCTTATAACAAATAGAATTAATGCATAATAATTATTATAAATAGTAAAATTAACGGTTAATCTATGTAATTTTAAAAGTTTGTTGCAAATTTCATTGGTTAGTTGGTTCATAAAACGTTTTGAAAAAATTATAAAATAAAAACAATAAAATCTTATTCAATTTGTTTTTTTGTTTCAAGCGTATAACAATTTTAATATTAGTTATATGCAGATGAGAGTGTTGGTGTTTTATAATTCAAAAGTTTGAGTTCATTAATTTGCTATTTAAAAACCTATCCACCGTGAAGTGTATTATCTTTTTTTATGAATATTTTATGTATGTACAATTGTATTTTTAAAAAACAATAAGGTGTCAAAAGATACAATAAAAAGGGATGTTTAAAACGACATACGAAATCCTAACATCCGTGAAGCTATCTTCCGTGAAGCTCTAATATTCAAAATGTATGATTTCTTAAAATTTTTGCATTAGTGCAGAACCACTTATGTTATGTTATTACTAGACCTGGTGGCTTAGCAAAAACCCCATTCTAGACTAACAGTGAAACAACCATAAATAAAAAAATAATCATTTTCACAATTATTATACACCGCCGTACAATAATGAAAATACTTTAAAATTACATAGAAAGAGTGGTTCTCGTTTAGCTCGAAATCAGTGAAGAAGTGTCAAAAAAATGTCACAATTTTTTTTATTTAAAAACAGAAGCTCTATACTAATACAAAAATGATAAAGGAAAAACTATCTTGTTTTGGCGTGTACTATCATCTCCCCAGGAATGAGTTAATATTTTATTTAGTAGAATGACCCATATGTATGTTTTATATGTAATTAAAGTTTACAAATTTTTACCAGAGAATATAGCATGTCCATACCAGTCGCTTCTTTGCAGTGGGTTACTATTCATTTAAAAAAAGTTTTTTAATTGCTATTTAACAAAGTTTGGGAATCATTACACTGTTTAAAATATCTGTGGTGTAAAGAGTAATCTTAAAATGGTGTCAAAATCCAACACCAAGTGGTGTTAATATAAAAACCATGAATTATGGTTGAAAATGTTATATACATATGTATTAGAGTGTCTCAAAAAAACCGACTATTTTCTTTTTTCCAAAGAACATTGAAAATTCGTCAGAGTATCTCTAGAAAATGACCCTGTGAAAGTAAGAGCTCTTAATATTAATATTTAGAGGTGGCGTTTTGTAATTTTCTATTTCCCATGGAATTTTAGATCTGCATTCCATCAAATATATGCATATATTTATTCTCAAGTTAATAATTTTGGGTCTTAAATACATATAAATTGATTTTTTTGTATTTAGTGTGGTGTTAATTTGGTGTTAAAATGGTCATGAAATTTTGAACAGTATACTGTACACAAACGCAATTATTGCATGTTGCAAATATCGGGACACACTAATTTAGTGACCTACATCAATTATCAGAAAATCTGGTCTAGAGTGCGGACCAATCGCATCGCGACGCTCCTCATCCCCATCCCCTAGAACCTGTAAATAGCCCCCAGGTGCAAGCGGTAACCATGGCAAACGTTTAGAGCGGGGCGCACATCCTCTAGCGACGTTTAAGGCCCATGTGAATCTCCGAAATTTATTATTGAAAATGCTTCAAAGTTGTACGGGTCATTAAGATCTTGGGAGTTGTTAAGTTTAGTTTTAAATGCGTTAAAATTAACATACGATGTGGTATTATACGTTAAAATAATTGTGATTTATTCCAGTTTAATTTAATAAAATAAAATTTAAAAAATGTTTAACACAACAAAAATTATAAATAATTAAAGTTGCTGTTTGCAAAATTTTAACCCTTAAATTCTAATATTCTAAAATATGTTTTAATAGTATTTGGTGTTAAATTTTAAAACAAAAAATATATAATTGTTTAAAAAGTGTTTAGACGGTTTTACTAAATTTAAGTTTATATGTGTTAAAAATGACTTAGATAATTATTTAATACGTTAAAATATTTAAAGATTGTTTTGCATTTTACAAAAAAAAATATTTACCACTTTAAAAGTTACAAACAGTTAAAAAAAAATAAACCATCTGTATTGTGTAATATGGGTGAATATATTGAGATGTCCCCTATACTAAGTGAAAATGATTATTTTTAATTTTTGGTTGTTTCACTTTTCTAGAATGGGGTTTTTGGGAAGCCACCAGGTATAGTAATAACATAACATAAGTGATTCTGCACTAATGCAAGAATTTTAAGAAATCATACATTTTGAATATTAGAGCTTCACGGAGGATAGCTTCACGGAGGTTAGGATTTCGTATGTTTTTTTAAAAACTTATTTGAAATAAGTTATTGTATCTTTTGACACCTTAATATTTTTTAAAAATACAATTGTACAATGTACATACATAACATACTGAGATATTACACTTCACGGTAGATAGGTTTTTAAATAGCAAATTAAGGAACTTAAACTTTTAAATTATAAAACAGCAACACTCTTATCTGCATATAAATTCGAACTGACCTTCAGGAATCACATTCATCTATAATGTCGTTGACAGAGGTTTTTGCTTACTTAAAATGATTAAAGCGCCATCCGTTGCATAAAATTTAAAGCTAAAAAAATCACGGAGGATAGAATCAATTTTTGTAACACCTACATAAATGGTTATAAAAATTATTTCTTTTAATTTTTAATAATATTTTATATTTAATTCGATTGCTTTGGATTTACTTGGTGAACTGATATTTTTAGTATGCTTTTACTAGCTCAGATATCTGAAAACATATAGGTTAACTTAGAAAGAGTACCAGTAACGGAGGATAGGATATTAAAAGTAGAATGTGAGGTTAGCTAGATCTGACAATCGAATTTTGTTGTTGTTCCTAACGGGTTTTTTACTATTTTTACAGCCTAGGTAATAATCGATCACTTTAATAGTGATAAATATTTTTATTCAGAATGAAGGAATATTAAAAAAAAACTTTTAGTCCTTTAACAGTGATTTTTACTACCCTGAGACTGTTAATTAAATAAAACTCGTTAAAAAATTGGAAACGTGATATTTTAATTATATTTTAACCTTCAAAGTGGATTTGGTCGAGCCCCTGGAAAGTAAACATTGATTTAAACTCTTGCACAAAGTGATTAACTGGAAAAAATCGAGACAGACTTTTCATCAAAACAGTGATTTAAATGAAATTTTAAAGCCTCTTATTAGCAATGAGGGTGTTATTTTAAAATCTGGCAAACCCAAAGTCTTAAACATGTGGTATTAATAACATAAATCCTAACTGAGACTAGCTTATACAACTCAACAATTGACTGCTTCTTTATTCAGCTGTCAGGCGAAAATAAAAACTTTTTGTTAAAAAGAAGATAACAGAATTTCGATAAATAAACCGCGGAATGTTAAACTGTTATCAGTAAACAATTGTGCGTCGTAGTGCAAAGCTAAAATGTGTTTTTTGTGGTCCTATTTAAAGGATTTAATGATGAGCGTGTGTAAAATATGGTTTTACTGAACTAGTGCGGTAAAATGTCGGAGAATTACAGAAGGGTGGTGCGCGTTAAGAGCCTAAGACGGCATAATTGTGACGAAGATGCGGGTCCTTCTTCAGAATGTCAGGAGTTTAATGAAGAGATTACAGATCCTTACATTTTGAGGAGAAAAGAATCCACCGATTGTGTATATGATATATTTGTGAAGGTATAAGTTTAAGGGTTAAGGTAAAGGTTCCTAATCGGCCCTTAAGATATATTTATGCTCATATTACCGTTACTAGTTTATTGTGTTATTTTATAAGATAAGACCTGAAGATGGTACATGAGATTGTACCTAAACGTCGAAGATACGGTTGTTTTAAGAACCGACAACAATTAATACATATGTATATATATATATATATATATATATTAGCAGTTTTAGTGATTTTTTACACTTTTCAAAGCTTTCAAACATACGAATTTTTGAATTAAAAAAATTAATTCTGGTATGCTCTACAAGAATCCGCGACGTAAAAAAATTTATCTCAAACGGTTCAAAAGTTATAGTCTTTTTAATGAAAAAAGATTTTTTTACGTGTTATTTCAATGAAAAACTTAGAATGCTCACCGACACCTTTTAAAATTGAGCAAAAAATTTTGCCTCGCAGGGAAATTTTTTTCTCGGTATGTAGGTTCATTTTAACCCATAAATCCGATAGGTTAGTTTTTTTGGCTCACCCTAATATATATATATATATATATATATATATATATTGTGTCGATACTAGGAACATTTACCTTATAAAAATTTAAATATTTTATCTTCAATAGTTTTTGAGCCATATTACATAAAAAATAAGAAATCTTGTGATAATAAAAAAATAATTGTTACATAATAAATACTATTATAACCAGTCTAATACCTTCTGCATAGATAAAAATGTAAATTTACAGGTAAATGCAAAAATAAATCGTGTTTTGCATTACAAAAATAGTACTTATATGTATATATATGTATATAACTATAGTTACGTAGAAATAATTAAAATTTTATGGTTTTAATTTACACAAGTTATCCAAAAACGGCATACCAAGGTAAAACACAGTACAACACGATTTTCCTCCCATGAAAAATTTTAACAGATTTTAAAAGTAAAGGTTAAAAAAATGTACCCGTGTCTCACCGTCTCACTAAAACACGTCTAATTATTTTACACAGCCATTCTTATTATTTTAACCTAAACAGATTTTTAATTCTCTATTTTGTTATAAATCATTTTTTTTTCTTCAAATTTTTACGTTTTTACATAAAAAAAATCTAATTTTGTCGTACTGTGTGTAATCGGTCTGTGTATCATAAGATGAAATAATAACATTATATGATACTGTTTAATAGTTAATTCTGCGACTAGTGGGAGAAAAAGGTGATTCCTCGAGAGTGCAGTTCGCGGTGGAAAGTCCTCTTTTGACCAATAGTCCCAGTTCATATTTTATTCAACTACCGCAAGGAATTTAAAGTCAATTCTATTTGATACTTTATTTTAAAATCATTTTTTTGCAATTTTAACTTATAGCCACAAAATTATATATTTCTTGCGGATGTTAAATAATATTATATTATATAGCAAGTGTGATAAACGGGATTTTAATAACAAGTTTTAATTTGACACGAGCGAAGCTTGCAAGCCATAAACGCACATCTTGTTAATGTGGGAGTAGATAAGTTAATTAATATAATTATTATTAAACAGTCGACAGTATTTAGATAAATGAGTATATAATTAAACTGATTGTGGTTTATTATAATATTATATTATGATAAAAGAAAAATACAAATAAAATAAATTAATAATATAGACAATCGTTTTCAAACGTAATTTTGTCTTAAAAAATAAAAAAAATATTCGTTTTTAAAAATAATTTTTTTATTCTTGTTTCAAAATAAAAACAGAAATCGCAAAAATTAAAAACAAAATATTAATATCTAAATAAAAAATGCTATAGTAAATAAAATTCTAATTTAAAAAGAGATTATTAAAATAGCTTTATTTTTTGAACCAAACACGAAGTAAAAGTAAAAATAACTCTGCGATTTGATAACATGTCACTTGCATTATTTACCACGAACGTAGAATATTTATTTCAGTGCAATTCTTATCTAACGTTTGCTCGTGTGTTCGTTACTTGAAAAACACACTTTTAAAGAACATCGCAAACTAAAAATACCTACAACGACAAAAGATTAAATTAAACAGGTCTGCGAATTTTTTTTGTTCCCTTTTATTGTTCTCAATTCGAATCCGACCAGAATTGAATTGCTTATTAAACAATTTAAAAAGGCATAATGAATTTTGTGGGAAAAATACTATCTGTGTAGTAGTATAATGTTATAGTCAAGTATTTTTAGAATGCTAAACTAAACACAGATTAATATATAGCCGATTATTAAACGAGGAATAACGCGCATAATCTCGAGTGTAATACTATACTTTATCTACTCCAATAATTAGATTAATTATCTGATGATTTTCAAAAATAAATAAATAAAATTTGACATCTGTCAAATGGTTAACCTTAAATACACTTTGACAAGTTGTGGCTTTATCGCTTTAGAAACGGGATGAAGTTAGCAACAGGGTTTTAGTCACGGGCTGAAGTTAGTTTTACTGTAAAAAATACTTATTATTTTATTATCTCAATACAAATTTACAAAAGTATTAAATAGTTTTTTGACGCCAATATTTGTAAAGATTGAAACGTTTGTTTATGTTTTGATTTAGCCGTAGTAGTGCCCATAAAACATTATCTTCTTTTTAACTGTGAAAAACTACTTCTATATCGATTTTTAGTCTATTTTCAAGGAATAAATTTTAATTTACGTGACTAAAATTGCGTTTATCAAACTTGTTATATAATATAATATTTTCTTTTATTGTTACTAATAAAAATTACTTAATTGAAGTACGAAAAGCATGGTATTATACTCGAAATAATGAGCATTATACACTCTAAAGATTTAAGACTCTCGCCTGACGGCTCGAGACACAAATCTCATCCTCTCATCTGTGCATAATAGCCTGCATTATCTCTCCTATAATAAAATACTATGACGCATATTCGGTTTTATATTATTCTTTATTTAATATCAAATAAAGCATTACAAAATAAAATATTATTATCCCAAGATTTCTATGCTATTTAGGTTTAATGCCTTTAATGTTTTTTGATTAATTATTTTAAAACCTCCCAGGTAATGCTTTTGGGGGACTCAGGTGTTGGTAAAACTTGTATATTAATGAGATTTAGAGATGGACTGTTTTTGAGAGGAAACTTTATTTCAACTGTTGGAGTAGATTTTAGGGTAAGAATATTACATCAAAAAACGTTTTAGTTTTCATATTTACTTAACATTTGTACTTAAAAATACTGTAAGTTGTAAGACAACATTTTTTAGAATGTTTGTTTATTTCTTTTTAAATATTTTTTCAGAACAAAGTAGTTTCTGTAGATCAAACCAGGGTAAAACTACAAATATGGGACACTGCTGGACAAGAAAGATTTCGAAGCGTTACCCATGCTTATTACAGAGATGCACATGGTAAGTTTTACTTTTTTACCAAAAAACAATGTTTTAATTAAACAGTTGGTAATATAAAACATTCTTATAATATGGAACAAAAATTATTATAGTTTTTCAGAATTAAAAAAAAATTGGAAAAAAGGAAAACATCCATTTAATTAGCTAATGTTTTATTTTACTAATTAGCAACACAACCATACACACAAATCTGACATTTAACGAAAAAAATTATTCACAATTTTTATGTTCATAAATATTAAATGTACAATTAGATATATATTGGAATTCAATTCCATTTGTACTTTTGGAAAATTCGTTTAATGAAACATCCACTATACTTGAACTTGATGAGGATAAGTGCTGGAAAGAGTCATCCTTTGAAGTTGATTGGAGCCTCTAAAAATTTTCTTCGATGATTGAATTTTATTTTGAATGCTATACGAGGTAAGTTCAGAAAATAACGGGAATTGTTACATTTCGCGGGTTCGGAAGGTCCGGTTGCCATAAAATTTTCTTTATTATGTTGGTATACATGCCCCCGAAGTATGATAAAAACTTTAGCTGTTTTCATTGTTTACTTTGTCTGTGGCAGCCGCTAAGGTTAGACGTGTTTTATGAGCTCGGCGATTTTTCGTTCGTTAAAAGAAATGGATCAAAGAATTTGTATCCAATTTTGCTTAAAAAATTTAATAAATTCTGTGAAATGTTAACAAAGGCCTATAGTGAGTCTGCTATAATTAAACAAGAGTTTACAAGTGGTATAAGAGTTTCCAAGATGGCCGTGAAGACGTTGAAGATGACGAACGCCCCGAACGCACAAGCACATTAACAACCGATAAAAACATGGAAAAAGTGAAAGAAATGGTTATAAACCATCAGAGAAGTCGCTGATGATGTTGGTATATCGATTGGCTCATGCCATGAAATTTTTTCGAATGTTTTGGGTATGAAATTTGTTCTAAAATTGTTAAATTTTGAACAAAAAGATACTGCCTCCATATTCGCCAGACATGCCTCTATCTGACTTTTTCATATTCTCAAAAATAAAGAGAACCTTAAAGGGCCGTCGTTTTGCAAGCATAGATGACATTAAAAGCGCATCGCTGAAAGAACTAAAGGCTATCCCAAAGATCGAGTTTTAGAAGTGTTTCGAGTATTGGAAGAAGAGCTGGCACATGTGCATAATATCACAGAATAAAGATTCTGTGATAATATCCAATGGGGACTATTTTATAGGCGACAACATTAATGTAGACGAATAAATAAATATTTGTTCAAAAAACGAAAATTCCCGATATTTTCTGAACACACCTCGTATAACCCTCAGCAGAAGATGTAGCTTGTAGTTTTACTGCAATTTTACAACTCTTTATCATCAGTGTAATTCGCAAAGTTCTTAACTTAATTTTTGGTTAATTTTTTTAAGACAGATGCATTTTTGAAAAAAATAAAAATATGTAAATTCTAGTTTTGAAAATCAAATTTGCGACTCATCTTAACACCAAAAAGTAAGTGGTTGTCAATTAATGACACTGACGTTATGTATTTAGCAGTATTTCTACCCGACTTTGATAGTTATTTGTTTTACAAGTGTTGAAAAGTGACTTTTTCATGCGAGTTTTTAAGTTACCCACGAGGCCGTTAGGCCGAGTGTGCATTAACACGAGCTTGAAGAAAGCTTTTCTCACAAGTATAACACAATGTTTTTTCTGCGACCCTTTTATTTTTTATTATTTTTAAATACAAAACAAAATAACCTAAAAACTTTTTTGACAGCTGAATGTCAAACGATGCTTTCCGGTTCTTTTCATACAGATCTGTCACTTTTCACACAGAAATGTCACTTAAAATTCGTGTTTTGCCTTGCCAATGAAAAGATTCATTTTCTAAGCAACGATGCCATCATGAAAAGTGACTTTTACATAGTGGTCGTAGAAAAAAGTAATTTAATTTAATTTTCACTTAACATAATTAAACCATGTCCTTCTATTTAATTTCTCAGCCTTGCTTCTATTGTACGATGTGACGAATAAAACTAGCTTCGACAACATAAGAGCCTGGCTGGGAGAAATCAGGGAGTACGCACAAGACGATGTCGTCATTATGTTATTGGGTGAGTAATTACTTTGGAGTTGTCTATGTAACTTTATACAGTATTTAACAAGGCTGCCACTTTGATTATATTATAGAGCAGGTGTAAATAGTAGTGGTGGATGCTTTGAGACATGGGAAACCACTTAAAATTAATTAATTGCGTTACATTAATTGACAGGAGTATACAGGGTGTTTCACATTTCGGTTAAACCGGAAGTAGCATTTTGTAAATAAATTAAAAAAATTTTGTTTGATAGTATACTAATAAACAGCATTTTTTAAAAAATGTTTACCCAACCAAAACAATGTTATTTATTTTTCAATAAAATGGCTTTTTATTTTTCAAATACCTTTTTTAAAAATAAACTTGTCTTTATGCTTCTTTTTTTTAAAATTTTTAATTTAAATTTATTTTTAATAAAAAGCAAACAATTATTCAGACCGATCTTTAACTTTTTTTTTAAATTTTCGGTAAAAAGGAACATTTCCTGATGATTTTTTTAAATTTCAGTGGCTTTTCAGCTTATTTGTCATAATACCATGTAGGATGAAGAAAGAAAGAAAATTACCAGAAAATGTTTCTAATAAAAAAAAATGACAATCATCGGATGGTTTCGTTTTTTTACAAAGAATTCAACAAAAAACGTTGAATATCGGTTTAAATATTTTTTTCAATATTTTTATAATAAGTGGATAGGATAAACCACATAGTTATTGGACACTTAAGGAATATTATTTATTTAAAATTTATATACCTATGCCGTTGTTTTAAAGATTTTAGTTTTTTTTTTATAAATATATAAAAAGGATAGTTTGTTTGTTTAAACTTTATTTACGTTTACTTGAAAATAAGAATATTTGAATTTTAATGATAGTTTTATAAAAACATGCAAAAAAGTATAGTAATTGGACAGATGGACCATAATTATTGGACATACAATTTTTATAAAAACACAACAACTTTACATCAAATAACATAAATTGTTAAATATTTTTTAAAGATAAATTGCTATTTTAGGTAATTTAATAAATATCATATAATTCATATATTTCTTTCTCGGATTCCTCATCCCTTTTCTGGATTTTAAAGATAACTACTAATTCATTGATCTAACTTCTGAAATAGTTTGTTGCAATTATCATTAAGAGTGGTGTCTCTAGTTTGTGAAGCATTTATAATGTTTACGCCGGAACAGGATGATTTATATATATCTAATATTGTTTCGGGTGGTATGTTAAAAGTATTTTCCGAATTTATTAATTTTGTTGCCATTAGTTTTTTACGTTCTCTGTCATGTATTTAAATCACTGATATTCTGAAAGATGGTCTGTGACGAAGAAATCACTATATTACTTACTCTCTAAAAATGAATTAGTCAAAAATGACATAGCGAAAAAGCAGCCACTTATAATTTTCGTCAACAGCAATTTGTATCCAGGACATTTATTAGTCAATCCATATAAAATATTATTCGCTGAATCCGAAAATGACGTCAAAAGTTATAAAAGTAGAACAGTTTTTGAAATATAATCAATTTTGCATATAATATGGAATTGACTATATCTCAAGAACTGCTTAACTTTTATAGTTTTTGATGGTCTTTTCGGATTCAGGGGACAATTTTACATATGAATTGTCTGGTAAATAAATAGAGTATGATATTGGACATATATCCAATAATAGAAATTTACATTTTTTACCAACCAGTAATTGGACACTGGCCATTTTATTGTTTATTTTCAGAATTAAAATTAAAACGCATTAAAGTGACAATGTTTAAATAATGAGGAACACATTTATACCACACACTGATCTGTGATAGTTTATAAGAAATTCTAACATTACATCATAAGGTATTTTTTTCAGTTCAACCTCCATATTTTAAGTCATGACAATTTTTTATGTCTCAAGTAGTCCATCTAAACCTACCTGTTTATAATTTCCAATACTTTTTTTAGGAAACAAAGCAGATTGTGGATCAAACAGAGCTGTAAGACGAGAAGAAGGGGAACGTTTAGCAAGAGAGTATAATGTAACATTCATGGAAACTTCAGCAAAAAGTGGGCAAAATGTGGAACTAGCTTTTCTAGCGATTGCCAGGTAAATATTATGATAACAAAACTCTCAATTTGAATGAAGCAATTCTGAGATCGGATTTCACCTATGGAGTGTTTTTTGGTAGAAAAAAACTTTTTTAATTTTTCTTTATTTGAAGTCCTTTTAGTAATTTTGATTTTTCTATAATAAACGAAATATTTATTGTTTTAATATTTTTAGGGAACTAAAATATCGACAGACTGGTCAACGGGATCCAAATCGGTTTAACGTGCAGGACTACGTGAGGGAGCAGACAAATAAAACTCAAGCACAGTGTCCGAATTGTAATACCTAGTTAAACTGGATAGTGGACCCTTTATTCTGAAAAATACACCATAAATAACAATTTTGTATTATCTGTTGATAAATAAAAAGATAGGGTTCACTTAAAAAAAAAAGTCGTAACAATTACTATTAAAAATAACCAAAATTACACCAAAAAGAATCGACTGAAAAAATGAACAATAAATGGTTTTTTATAAATAACTAATTTAATTAACCTCATAACATAACAATGAGAATGTAAATTTTTTTGTCAATTACTTAGTTAATTTGTTATATACGATTGTTATTGATAAATTATTATCTCAGAATTATCCAAAAAAAATCATTTTAGTAGTATTTTTCGGTAAAAATTGACCATAGTAATTTTTTGGACTTGTGCTGAACAAACTTTTGTAAACAAAATGTGTACTGGGCGTTGTCCTCAATTTATGTCATTGGGTGGATGCTCTGGGACAGAAAAATTTTATCAAAGCAATAAATACGTTTTTTGGTTAATTTTTAAAATGTTTGCCCTAAAACATTGACCAATAACATCAATTACGGACAATGGCCCCAACATTGCTTGCAATATTTTTGGGGAAAAATAAAATCCAAAACAAATTGAGAATACCTGACTTTGTAAATGATAAATTTTTTTTAAATTATTGCATTTCAAAATTTGTAAAATATATGATTTCTTAATGGGTTATTATACATATAGATTAAATAATACCATTTACATAATAAAATTAAGTGGCTTAGCATATTAATAATAAGTACATAAATAAAAAATCTTAAATGTATTTATATTTTGTGAAATATACCCAATATAATATACAGGGTGTTCCACAACAAAACGAACACCAGCAAAAAATACCATCATCATAACACATTATGTTATTGTTTTGCACACCCTGTATAACTGTTTAAGCTTGTGACAAATTATATGGACTGATTGTAGTGATTTTGTTTTTTTACGCACATATCACAAGGATTTATTTAATTGCATATCTAGAAAACTATTTGATTTTAATTATTTTTTGTTTAAGTTGGCGCAAAAGTATGTTTTTGTAAATAAAAAAAAATGGTTTTGTTTCTGAATTTGGACTTTTACATTTTTTCCTGTTAAACAAAAAAGTTATAGCTCTGGAAAATCGGGTGATTACTTTTGCGACATCTTGTACGAGGTGTGTTCAGAAAATATCGGGAATTTTCGTTTTTTGAAACAAATATTTATTTATTCGTCTACATTAATGTTGTCGCCTTCAAAATAGTCCCCATTGGATATTATGCACATGTGCCAGCTCTTCTTCCAATACTCGAAACACTTCTAAAACTCGATCTTTGGGATAGCCTTTAGTTCTTTCAGCGATGCGCTTTTAATGTCATCTATGCTTGCAAAACGACGGCCTTTAAGGTTCTCTTTATTTTTGGGAATAGGAAAAAGTCAGACAGAGGCCTGTCTGGCGAATATGGAGGCTGGGGCATCATTACAGTATTGTTTTTGGCCAAAAATGTTGTTCAAAATTTAACAATTTTAGATCAAATTTTGCTGCCACGCGTTTCATACCCATAACATTCGAAAAACTTTCATGGGATGAGCCAATCGATATACCAACATCATCAGCGACTTCTCTGATGGTTTATAACCATTTATTCCACTTTTTCCATGTTTTTATCGGTTGTTAATGTGCTTGTGCGTTCGGAGCGTTCGTCATCTTCAACGTCTTTACGGCCATCTTGGAAACTCTTATACCACTTGTAAACTCTTGTTTTACTTATAGCAGACTCACTATAGGCCTTTGTTAACATTTCACAGAATTTATTTAATTTTTTAAGCAAAATTGGATACAAATTCTTTTAACGAACGAAAAATCGCCGAGCTCATAAAACACGTCTAACCTTAGTGGCTGCCACAGACAAAGTAAACAATGAAAACAGCTAAAGTTTTATCATACTTCGGGGGCATGAATACCAACATAATAAAATTTTTTTTATGACAACCGGACCCTCCGAACCCGCGAAATTTAACAATTCCCGTTATTTTCTGAACACACCTCGTATATCTAAATTGTTAGTCAGTATAAGCTGTTAAAAATTTATAGATTTATTATCGTTAAAAATGTGTTATAGAATTTAAAAAATAGTTACTTACTACCTTTTATTGTGCATTATATAATTTGTTGATAATGTAAATTCATTTACAGAATAATATTAATATATAATGACCAATATTGTGTTTCATATCTCATGTATGTAGTTTGAAAAAGTTTAAGTATATAACTATCTAGGATTGGTGTGCCTGCAAATGTAAAAATATACCTACAAATAAATTTAAAAAAGTAAAAATATAATGATATTGTAGTTTTTTTATAAAAAACTTTTCTATAGGTACGTCAAAAGTATAAAATATTTTTTTCTTTTTGTACCTATATTCACATACTTGTGGAAGTATTAATCCTTTGGCCATCTCTTGTCAAGATTTGGAAGGAATAAAAATCAATAATAGGAATCTGTAGTAAAATACTAAAGATTAGAATATAGCTTTCTCTTATTAGAATATAGCTTGAAAACAACTTTATTAGATAAAATGAATTCAAAATAACATAGGTGTATTTTATCATCAACAATATTTTTTCCTATTTAAATAAATTATTAACAGATTTTTTAAACACAACATAAAAATAACACTTACTAAGCATTGCAGAAAAAATGGTTAACCCTAATAAGAACATATAGCAACAGGGTGTAACTTTAAGGTTAATCAAAAATTAAATTCCTTAGAAAAATATAATAAGTTTATTTTAAATTAAAAATTTTTTACTTTTTTTACTAAAAAGTAATAGTTTGTTTCATTTTTTAACTCTTTTTGAAAATTTATGATCGTTTTGCATTTTTTAAATAAAAAAAATAATCATTTATAAAAAATAATGTACAAATAAAATATAGGTATAAAATATTCAAAACCAAAATCCTTAATGTTTGCAAAAAATAACATACTATACCAGCAAACTTTCTTACACGTAAAAACTAATGCAGTCAAGAAACTTTTAAGTGTTTTATAGTAGAAACTTTTACCGACAAAAGCTAAAACTAATTTCTCTTAATATTCACTTACCAAATTTGCGAGGTCCATTTTGGAAGTTTTTCCAGTCATAAAATGGCGAAAATTAGTTAAAGTTAAAGCTAAATTGTTATTAAGGCGATTCACTTTAGTGAATAAGCATAATAAAGACGCTAGAGTAGATTGCATTTTGTTTCTTTGGCAATTTAGAATGCTGCAATGTTGGAATTCTAATGTTTATGATTTTATTATACATACGAGGTGTGTTAAGAAAATAACGGGAATTGTTAAATTACGCGGGTTCGGAGGGTCCGGTTGTCATAAAATTGTCTTTATTATGTTGGTATACATGCCCCCGAAGTATGATAAAAACTGTAGCTGTTTTCATTGTTTACTTTGTCTGTGGCAGCCGCTAAGGTTGGACGTGTTTTATGAGCTCGGCGATTTTTCGTTCGTTAAAAGAAATGGATCAAAGAATTTGTATTCAATTTTGCTTAAAAAATGAAATAAATTCTGTGAAATGTTAACAAACGCCTATAGTGAGTCTGCTATAAGTAAAACAAGAGTTTACAAGTGGTATAAGAGTTTCCAAGATGGCCGTGAAGACGTTGAAGATGACGAACGCCCCGAACGCACAAGCACATTAACAACTGATAAAAACATGGAAAAAGTGGAAGAAATGGTTATTATATTGATTGGCTCATCCCATGAAATTTTTTCGAATGTTTTGGTTATGAAACGCGTGGCAGAAAAATTTGTTCTAAAATTGTTAAATTTTGAACAAAATTTTTGTCCAAAAACAATACTGTAATGATGCCCCAGCCTCCATATTTGCCAGACATGTCTTTGTCTGACGTTTTCCTATTCCCAAAAATAAAGAGAACCTTAAAGGGCCGTCGTTTTGCAAGCATAGATGACATTAAAAGGGCATCGCTGAAAGAACTAAAGGCTATCCTAAAGATCGAGTTTTAGAAGTGTTTCGAGTATTGGAAGAAGAGCTGGCACATGTGCATAATATCCAATGGGGACTATTTTGAAGGCGACAACATTAATGTAGACGAATAAATAAATATTTGTTTCAAAAAACGAAAATTCCCGATATTTTCTGAACACACCTCGTATATGTATAACTTTGCAACATAATAGTTGTATAATTATATATGTACAGTGTAGTACTTTACTAATAATATACATATTATTTTAAGTTTAATACCAACTTTAACAAAAAAAATCAGAAAAAATCTAAAAAAAAGTGGGAAAAAATTATATACTATATTTTTTTCAAACAAGGTTTTTTCTTACTTTTAGACTCTTTTCAAGGTACTTCCAAAGTTTCAAGTTTTAAAATCAATTTTTAACCTGAGCTCCGACCACTTAAAAAAAATTATAAAAAAGTGGAAAAAACTTATTTTTTACGAGGTTTAATTGTTTTTTTAACCCAACAATTTAAAATGAGTGGAAAAACATTATGAAACATTTATCTTGACATTTTCCTCAAATTTTAAATTTAACCTTTTATCTAAAAACGGAATTTCCAAGAAAAAATTTATTAACTATTTTTTCATTAAATTTTGCTAAAATTTTAAATTATATTTAAACTTTGTTTTCTTTGCGATAAAAGGGCCAAAAGACCAAAACTATGATTGATTAAATTAACAAAAAAAAAGCATAAAATAAAAACTAACGATTTGAATAAAAAAAACCTCTACATCCTAAAGAAAACTTGCCAACTACATTAAAGATTGATATTTTTAAGGTCTTGGGATTAGAATATGTCAGACACATTATATTTTATTAAAAAAAAGTACAGCTGAAGGCTCAATGTGAATTTAAATCAGCTGTAAGTGCATGTTTTTAAAAAGTAGATTCAGTATGAAAATAAAACTCATCAATAATAAAATATGTACTTTATTTACAATAAATAACATTGCTTAATAGTACATGCATTTATTAATATTTATTGGTTAAAATATTAAGTATAATTTATTTTATGTATAGGTAATATATTATTTTATACAGTCATTTATAAGAACATATTTTTTTACAAAACTACTAAATGGGCTCCTTTAGTAGTTTTATAAACTTTATGTTATACAAGGTGTTTGTCTGGTCTAACACCAAATTTGTACCTATTTTATTGCCTTTCAAAACGTTTGTATCAACCTGAGAGACACCTTGTATATAAA